GGCTCGGTGTTACCCCGGCGGGGGGCAACGCACCCGGCACCGCCCGGCTGTAGGGGACATCGCACCCCTTTCGATCCCTGCCATAGGGGAATCGCACCCCGGCACCGCCCGGCCATAGGGACATCGCACCCATCCACCCGGCTATAGGGGCACCACGCCTCATCACTGCCCTGCTATAGGGGAACCGCATCCCATCACTGCCCAGCTGTAGGGGCACCACACCTCATTAACTCCCTGCTATAGGGGAATCACACCGTGTCACCACCCTGCTATAGGAGAATCACACCCCATCACTGCCTTGTTACAGGGGCATCACACCTCATTAGCTCCCTGCTATAGGAGAATCACATCCCATCACCGCCCTGCTATAGGTGCAATCACCACCCAGCTATAGGGGCATTACACCCCATTAGCTCCCTGCTATAAGTGAATCACACCTTATCACTGCCAGGCTATAAGGGCACCACACCCCATCCACCCTGCTATAGGGGAATCAATGACACCCCATCACCGCCCAGCTATAGGGGCACCACACCTCGTCACCGCCCTGCTACAGGGGCACCGCACCCCTTCCTCCACCACCTGCTGGGGCCCATGGGCCATAGGGAAGGGACCCTGCTGTTCCAGACCCCGCTCCAGCAGGCATGGCACGGCACAGCCAGGGTCCCCCAGGGCCCGGCCATCGCCCCACCACGGCCGCCTGCGGATGAGGAGGCAGCTCCAGGCGTGGCAAACTGGAGCCGACCCAAAAACTGGCCCCACCGGGCCTGCCCCAGGGACGGCACTGCCGGCACACCACCCCGCTGTCCTGGTTAACTATCCCAGCTGAAACCAGGACGGGTTTCCCGCCACATCCGCTCGCGGCGCTGATCACTGCAGACCGGAGCCACCCCACTTCATCCCAGTGCACCCCAGACCCACCTGGGCAACTGGAGATCTTCCAGCTCAGCCCTGCTGCTCACCCAGCAGCAGACCTTGCCCCCCCCAATGCCGCTGGGGACCTTCACCCAGGGCTGGGTCCCGAGGAAGAAGGACCACCAGTGGCTCTCGCCAGGGTGCAGAGTGAAGCCACCGGCTCCCGAACGCCCAGAATGGCGAGCCGGGTCCCTGGGGGAGCCGCTCACTCAGGGCTGGTCCCGGCCAAACCCAGCAGCAGCCACCGTCCCAGGAACGATTTTAGGAACATGAATGGTTTCACCCCAGTGCTGTTGGGAAAGGATGAACCGGACACGGGGAGAACAGTTCAGGTTTTTATTTGTTGTAACAAAGGTGGAGAAAGAAACCTAGAGGGGAATAGCTCATTTCAGCTCCTTCACGGCCAGACCTGGGGAGGAAAAAGAGATGACTTCATGGTTGGAAATGCTCGGCTCGTTACCATGACCGCCAGGTCTGCAGGGGGCCGGGGCAGCTCTCCCCCCACCTCTGCCTGGGGTGGGGGGCACAGCCACAGAAAGGGTGGCCAGAGCCCTCCAGTTCCCCATGGCACCAGTTGCAGGGAGAGCAAAACAGAGTGACCCGGAACGGAGAGGGGGACACGACATGTGCCGGGACAAGGCTGCTCAACAGCGGGAGCTCCACAGGGGCCCCTCCACGGGAATTGTGGGGGGGG